ATTTCCAGCATGCCCTCAGTGTACACTCGGGTCTACTAGGTGTCACGATACTAAAATTTTAAACTCGATTTCGATACTGGGGAAAAAAAACTCGATAGTGATTTTGATACCACAGAGAAAAAAAAATCACCTTTTTATTGAACATTCTTGAGGTAGAATATAACAAATAACACTCCTTTTGTCTAAATGCTTCTGTAACAGTGCAAACAAAGAATTATAAACAGTTTTAAAGTGTGCACTGTAAACAGAGTTGTTTTGGAACACAATTTGACACATAAACTTTTCAAATATGAAAGCATCAGTAGAAGAGAACTTTTTTTTTAAAGTGCACACCAGACAAACGATCGTTGCTGATGAAATTAAGCAGGTAATGTTGGCTGAATGATTCTGCTTGTGGATAGCTGGTCTTCTTCAGCCTCAGTTTTTCACTAGAAGAAAATAAACAATGTAAAAAATTTTACAAATCATGATGTCACATTAAACTAAAACCCCTGGTTGCACCAACAACATAAGCTTGTTCACCTTTTTATCTTGGGTTAACATGAACTCATGTAGAAAATTTTCAGTGCATTGGTGGTGGAAGTCAACTTTTACATTTAATGTGGTCAGTCCATGTAGTGCAATTTTACGTTTCTCCGCGTGTGCTTGCTAAAAGCCTCATAGTGGTGAAAATAACACAGTTTACGTGTATGATGGAGGAAAATACGCGAAAAGAGCCGCTATGGACGTCAATATATGTACACGGCTACAGCAGCAAGCCGTTAGCTTTAGCTCAATGCTAGCAGAGATTTTTTTAACTAAATAAGCACTAATTTGTTGGTGCAACCGGACATATGTTTAGTAGTACACTATTTATATTATTTACAAACTTGTTTCATTTCGTCGTAGAGTTTGGGGTGTCTGTCTTTCAGATGTCATGCAACTGACATGTTGACTTCGCCTTGAAGCTCTGCTAGATACGGGTCGGTCATAGTCCATCTCCTCTCCCGACTCGTTCATCGTGGACCCAGAGTATTTCCAGACTGAACTTCTGCCTTTTTTTTTTTTTTTTGAAAAACAGATAACATAAACACAGCAAAAATAACAAAAAAATAAATAGCTCAGGTATGGCAAGACAATGACAAATTATACATTAGAGCGGTGCATACATAGGTAGGTTAGGACCGTTAAGAAAATCCTAGTAATATGGGAGAGGACAGTGTAGGTGCGATGTATTTTAAGTATGGCTCCCAGATTTCATGGAAAGCATCCACTGTTGAGTGAAGCATACAAGTAATATATTCATTGGGGATACACTTGTGCTTGGTTGTCTGTCTCTCTGTGTTGGCCCTGTGATGGACTGGTGTCCAGGGTGTCCCCTGCCTCCGCCATAGATCAGCTGGGATAGGCTGTGGCCCCCCATGACCCTACAGAGGATAAAGCGGTGTGTAGAAAATGGATGCATGGCTGTATTGCACTTTGCTCTTCTGTGATGAAAGTGATCCAGGTACCGTTAGAAAACACTGTGTTAAACAAGACAATACAAAACAGAGTGCACTGATACACCGAGGCAGCCACTGGCAGCACCATCTTGAACATTTTGGTTTGCAATTAAGTTAATTTTCAATTTGATTTACAAAGAGCCAATTCACAACATATGTAATCTCATAGCACTTAAAATACTACGGTGAAGACCTTCCAAATTTAGAACAGACAACAATCCTGAGCTCCCTTTGGATCCCCTTTGAGCAAGCTGTCGGTGACAGTGGGACAGAAAAAAAAACAAAAAAAACTTTTGTTTAATGGACAAACCATGGCTAGCACAGAGAACAACAGAAAGCAGCACATTGCAGTGCCTCACTCCACCTAACTTTGAACAATTCCAAAACTGAGCAAAGAATCAGTGGAGCTAATGTGGGCCATGCAAATTTCTCAATGGACTCCATTGGTCCTCTCCTGTGACAGTACTTAATTATGCAAAACTTTAAGCTTTAATACAGCTTTTATGTAGGTTAATTATATGAAAATTTTAGAAATGTGTCACTGACAAAATGGGATTGACTAAAACAGAAATGTGACACACAAGGACAACGTGAGGATGAATTATGTGCCTGTATGTTGCAGCTTTGGGTCTTACTCAGGCCTAAAAACAACAGCCCACCCTGTCCAATGGGACGCGAGCTTTGGATCCTGCCCCACGGTGATGTGCTGATGAGTGTGTTTTGGTGGAGCACATTCTCCGGTTGAAACAATGTGTGCATGTGTGTGTTTCCAGAGAGTGAACTGGATACACGCGCACACACACACACACACACACACACACACACACACACACACACACACACATACTTCAGTTGACTGCCTCCCTTCACCCCTCTGTCAGCCAGCTCTGATGGATGCTGACTCTCTTTTAGTTCAGCCTGAAATTACCACACTTGCTTTAGATCCAAACAAACAGTTCAGTTTACTATTTTTTTTAAACATTGTGTCGATCGTGTAATTTGGGGGCACTTTAAATAGCAACTGCAAGTCCTTACCATATTATAAAGTGAAACTCAACAATCTCCCCTTGAGCAACCATTTGGTGACAGTGAAGAGGAAAAAGTCCTGTTTTTGATAGGATGAAACCTCTGACAGTGCCATACTCAGCCTGTGTGCCTCAGTTGATTGGGGTGACAGGAAAATGGAGAGAGAAAGATAAACAGTGAGCAGATTGACAAGATATCAGAAACATGCAGCTTGAGATACCTGCAGAGAGGAAAAAGTACAAACTACGTGTGAGAAAAGACAAAAAAGTTAATGACATGCAGTAGTCATATAAATACGTGGAGAGTGAAAGCAAACAGAAAATACAGTCTGTCTTGCAGTACTTTCTGACTTCACTACTCTGTGTGTGTGTGTGTGTGTGTGTGTGTGTGTGTATTTGCTAAAAATGGAGCCCTGTAAATACACTTCACATGTAAAATGTGTGTATGAGTTCATTTTTAAAAAAGACTCAGTATTTTTGTTAAAAAAAAAAAAAACTACAGTGCACTGTAATGAATTAAGACATAATAGTAACATGCATCAGTGAAACTCGCTGATGTGTTTTTAGATAACTATATGACATAATTTTAAGGTGTATCAGGCTATGCCATTTTTGTTTTTTTATGTTGAATTTTTCAGGCCGTCACTGTGACACTCATCAGATGACTGGAAATTACATGTGGGATGAAGCCTCCCAGAAGGAGTTTCTGATTGGGATCAATACTGACAGCCGGTTACCTCTGTGGTGGGATGGATCAGAGCCACTATGGGTTACCCTGCAGAAGCTGGGAAAGAAGGTTTTCATGTACTACTGGCCTGGTGAGTACACACATTGTTAACTTGAAACTCAACTCAAGCTGTGTGCATGAATGGGTGAAACTTTATGAACTGCAAGGGCAGGAAATTACTACTAATATTTTACAACTTGTCTCCACAAAAGCTATTTCAGCCATGTTTTTTCAGTTGTCTGTTTTCTGTGTGATGTTCCTGTGATGTTGACATGATGGAACATCCCTTCTTTTTTAATAAGTCTATGCTGCCTACACACGTAGCACAACAACTTACTTGCATTATCCGTTTATAAATGTGGCAGTGGAGTCTGTTCATTTATTAAGTCTGTTTCCCCCATGTTTTATTTTTTGTTAGTGATTGCGTCTTCAAGTCGCACTTGCAGACATCCTTGAAGCCTAGGTTGGGTTGGCCCGTTGGTTGAGTTCCTTCAGCCAGTTCACCATACAGCAGATCTTTTGGGAGTCTCCCATCATGCAAGTGGTGAATGTGGTCGAACCAGTGCAAGCAGCATTGCTCCAGGAGAGCAAAGGTAGAAGGCAGCTGTGGACGGCGGACAACCTCTTCGTTTATCACATAGTCTTGCCAACAGATGTTCAGAATACGCCAGAGGAAGCGCAGGTGATAGACGTTTAGACGTTGGTGGTGTCTGGCAAGCATGGGCCTGCTGTTCACGGCATAGTTGCCTTAGGGAGAAAATCATGTCGGTATTGGACCCGCTCTTTTGAAAACCACATTGAGACTCTGGGTACATGCCAGCAAGTTGCCAGCGCACAAGAAGCAAAGTCTTGCCAATGTAACTCAGAGGGCTGATGCCTCTGTAGTTGTTGCAGTTGCTCTTGTCTCCCTTGTTCTTGCAGAGGGTGATGATGTTGTAGTTGCACAGTTCTTGTGGCACTGAGACCTCAGCCCAACACTGGCAAAAAAGTTGGTGCAAAGGTTCGAGGATGATGATCTTTGCACACTTCAACACTTATGGCAGAATTCCACTTTTTCCACTTTCAATCCTGGCACCTTACCACAAGTTAGCATGTTGATGGCATCACTGAGTTCTTTCAAGGATGGGACACTTTCAAGCTCCTCCATGACTGGAAGAGGCCTACATGAATCCAGTGCAGCGTCATTGATGTAGCGTTCTGTGGAGTACAAATCTGAGTAGTGCTCCATCCACCTCTCTTGTTGTTCATCCTTTTCCTTCAGGAGGTTGCCACTTTTGGATTTCAGAGGCACTGGTTTTTCCAGTGAAAGTCCAACAGCCATCTTGATACTCTGATCGACACCGTGAATGTTGCCAAAGTCAACAGTTTTTTGGATGTTGCTAAAGTGCTCGTTCCAGTATTCATTTGCTCATGATCTCAATGTTCTCTGAGACAGTGCTTTTGCAGTATTAATCGAGTTGGGCAGTTCTTGTACTTCAGCAGTGCTTGCCTTTTGTTCTCCAGGACTCCGGACAGTGTTTGAGAGTGGGTTTCAAACCAGTCATTTTTTTTCCTGCCAAGTGTTGCCAGGGATGTGGTGTAAATGGCACTTCTCAGCTATCTCCATTGCTCCCGGTCACCACCTTGAGCATGTTCTGCTGGCAGGGCCACTTCCAGATCTTTTGTGAAATGGCCAGACTTGCTACCAATTGCACTGACATTTATTGGCGCTTTGAGAAATGGTATGGCAAACTGGCATGCTTTTGGCTGCAGTCTGAGAGTGCGGCAGACAAGTGAGTGGTCGTTGTTGCAGTCAGCACTGTGCTCGGAGCAAGTCAGCAGGATGTTCTTCAGGTGGTATCACCTTGTGGCAACTAGATCTAATTGATGCCACAGTTTTGAGCATGGGTACGTCCAAGATACTTTGTACTCAGGTTTGGTTTGAAAGTGGTTGTTTGTAATGCACAAGCTGGTGAAAGTGCATAGCTCAAGCAAACTTTGGCTGTTCTTGATCAGCAGGAGCAGAAGTTGCTTGCTTGGTGGGACAGCTTGGATGACTTCAAGAAGTTGTTCGTGGAAATCGTCTTTGATTTCAGCAGTAGCATAGAGTGTTGGGGCATAAACACTTATCAGACTGACATGGTTCTGAGGTAAAGAGATAAGATTCTCTCAGTACCTGCAGCTAGAGGGTCAGTTGTGTTTAGCAGGCTGTTTTTCACAGCAATGCCAACACCGTCTCCAGTGTATCTTCTGAGCGTTTGCCTTGATAGAAATAACACGGTAGTTGTCTTTATGGATCTTGGCAAAGTTTGCAAGTCGGGTTTCCTAGAGGGCAACGATATCGACATTCAAGCGTAGGAGTTCTCAGTTGATTACTGCTGCTTTGCAAGCATCATCAGTTTCATTGATGTTATCAGTCCGTACATTCCAGCATCTGAGTCGAATTGTGGGTTTTTATTTTGTTTTTGTAGGTACAGGATTTACTGTCCACTTGTCTTGATAACTCCGTAAGCCACGTGCATCCAAAGAGGCAAGTGAAAGTGGCGAGACAGCACCTAATTGACCATCAAATTAGCCCCTGGCACCACACTCCACGCTAATCGAGTGTAAGCTTATGAATGGTGACTACTATCTCTTCATGTTGATTCCGTTGCGATGTTGTGGCAATGATGAAGTGCCCTCTCCAGTATGCACTTGTGCGCAGATTGTTCAGGGGTTAGTTACTAGCCCAATATTTATAACCCCTCTCTCCACGCTACTGCAGCTCCTCTTTGAGCTGCTATGAGAGTGACGACAGTTGCTTTCATCTGCCTCTCAACCAAAGAGAACTGCAGCACATGAGGCACATGTTTGTTCCAACACTAGCTTAGTCTCGCTTTAACTTGAAAAGACCTCACAGTGTCTTTGCCTTGAAGAGCTTGAGCTTAGAGCTAAAGACATGGAACCATTTGCTCCTGAAAACTGATCACCACACTGATAATTATTTTAGGGAACTGGATTATTACCCAATGGACTTGCCCCATGCAACCCAAAGGGAGTAAATTAAACTTGTGTACATAACCAGCTCCAAAACTGTTCACAAGTTTATCCAGTGTTGTCAGGACCCCCGCCTCAGCCTCAGCCCCCTCTCCCTCTCCCTCTCCCTCTTGCTCGGCTTCCCTCGCTCTCTGTCCAGCCATTGTTGTCGTGTCTGCAGCGTGTGAGTGATTTTTGCAGGCATTGGAGACAGCTGTGCGGGGATCGGCTCACGTGTACAAGCACCCAGACCCATAAAAGCTCGGCTCATTTCTCCATTCCCGGCCAGATTGTAGACACTGATGCTTTGTTTTCCTGCTGGTCCCCAACCTATCTCCTGCCTGCCTTCCCCAAACTGTTAACGCCTAACCGCCCCGCATCAGCAACACAAACACTGCCTAGGGCCACCCCGCTGTCTTGGCAGACCACGTGGTACCCAGCCACGCTCTGGCAACCTCACTCGCCACCCTGAGCCTCCCCACAGCCCACAGCCTGCCGTTTCTAGTTGAATCCCCTGTCCCCATGAGTAACCCTGTTTTGTCTTGGCACAGTTTTTTTTGTATTAATTTCTACAGCTCCCAATTCTGTTGTGTTGGTTACTTGTGTTACGAAGCTTTTTCATTTAGTTATCCTCCCTGATTGTGTTGCTGTGAGTCGTCTGTTAATAAATCCTTGTCATGCTTGTAACCAGTCCCCGTTTGTTTTCGTGTCTGCACCTGGGTTCTAATATCCGCCGTGACAAGTGTCCGCATCCCAGTGTCAGAAATGACTGCAAAGAGCTCTGTCAAGCACTGATAGAAGAATTCTCCTCTCCTGCTGTTGAGATCATCTCATTGCAGCCCTCCAAATTAAACATTCCTGACATGAGTATCTCAGAGATGATTACAAACATCTGGAGCATGCATATTTCCAAGGCAACAATGCACCAGATTTGGAAGACAAGTTTTAACATCATCATTATTAAAAGCATTCATTTTCACAGTCTGTCATGCCCTCCACATCCAAGTGGTGTAGTGGCAGTATCTCTCTTCCCCCTCCTTTGTCTCTCTCTACCTTTTCCCCAGGTGGGTGTGAGCGTGGTGTGTGTGCATGGATTGCTGGCAGGTGCTGATGACTGGATAATCACCTGAGTGAACACACCTGCGGCGGGGAGTGGTCCACCTGCAGCTACTCAACCTGCTGCCATAAAAGCATGACTCAGACCACTACTCGACACCGGACCGTAAACGATTCCAGTTAGTCTTACTCAGGCCTGAGCTTTTTGCTCAGTTTTATGATCTTCATTACTAACTTGTATTCTCTGTGCCTTAGTTCCTGACCTTCCCCGCCTGCGCCGTCTGCTGCATGCCTGGAACTTCTGCATTTTATGCAGTTGTCACCTGGTCATCTCCGGATTCAGAACCATACACCTCCACCAGGAATCAGCACCTGCTTTTGCCATCCCCACAGCCATGCCACCTCCGCCTACCCTCCTTCCTCATCATTCCCCTATCATCAGTTAAGTTTCTGCTCTCTCTCGTTGGGTCTTGTATTGTGCTTAGCTATGTAACTTGACCACAGCCTTGTTTTCGCTGCACTGGCAATCTGTAGCCGTACTCATTATTTTCCTATGATTCGCCATGTGCAGGAGTCAATTGTTACGCTGAGTGCGTATTTGCCTGAGTCTAGTTCTCCTGCTTTTCTAGTTTGGTTGCACCAAGTCCTGGTTGCTGCCTCTTGTGTAAATAAATCCCCGTTTTGTAAATATATCTATCAGGTTGCCATATTCACGTTAGGTTTTAATCGGGTTTTTGTATTGCATTGTACCTCCTGTGCTGTGGATGTTCCCCCATCATGTTCCCTGTCCATCTGTTCTGTGTTTTGGTAGTGCTTCCTCCATAAATTTGTACATGTATATTTTTATAAATAAATTCATTGTTATCTTAGGTTTGCTGTGTCTCAGTTGCTTCGCACCTGAGTCTCTGAAGGATCCATGACACAGTGCTATCGTTGGTCATTTTATTTTGTGACTTGGTACTATTTATTTTTTGTAACTTGATGACTGTTCATGCTAAACCGAGATAGGTACAGTCAACAAACGCCCATGAGTACATGAACTGTCCAAGATGCTACACCAACGAAATTAAGGATTCAAGGCCTTTATTGGTCACAAATACAGTTATACATAGTATAACACACAGTAAAATGTATTTTGCACCTGTTCCACACCAAAACAATAATCAGAATAAGAATAAAACACACAAGAAATATATATATATATTAGGGCTTGACCCAAACATCCGAATATTCGGTAGTTGTGGTGGTATCTGGACATCAGTTTTGCAATCCGAATTTTTGAAGCTCCTCCTCATCCTCTCTGTGTTTGCCTTCAGGCAGCAGTAACGCCAGCCTGGTGGCAGCAGAGAGAACAGTCTGTGGCTAGGGTGAGTGGGCTCACTGCACCACCCTCCTCAGGGCCAAGAAGTCCTGCTGGGTGCTGGTGCCCATCCAGGTGGTGACACTCCCAGCCAGAACACTCTCAATGGTGCAGGTGTAGAAGTTCCTGAGCACCTTGAGAGGGAACTTAAAGTCCCTCAGGCGTCAGAGGAGGTAGAGATGCTGTTGAGCCTTCTTCACCAGGGTGTTGATGTGACAGGACCTGTGTGATGTTAACACCCGGGTACTTAAAGCTCTCCACTCGCTTCTCCTCTGTCTGATCCTGAGTGGGTGGTATGCCCGCTGCTGCTTTTTGCTGTCATCCACCATCAGCTCTTTAGTCTTGCTGACGTTCAGGAGGAGGCTGTTGTCTCTGCACCAGTCCTCCAGGTGGGTGATCTCCATCAGATAGTCCTCCTTGTTGTTGTTGGAGATCAGACCCCCCACTGCTGTGTCGTCAGCAAACTTAATGATGGTGTTAGAGTCTGATGTGGACAGGCAGTCATTGGTGTACAGTGAGTACAGCAGAGGGCTCAGCACACAGCCCTGGGGGGCACCGATGTTCAGAGTGCTTGAGGGGGACAGGTGATTCCCCACTCAAACCACCTGTGGTCTGCTGGTGAAAAAGCTGTAGACCCAACTGCACAGGGAGGAGGTGAGTCCGAGGTCCTGCAGCTTAGTGACCAGTCTGGAGGGGATTATGGTGTTGAACGCTGAACTGAAGTCCACGAACAGCATTCGCACATAATTCCCCTTCGTAGTGTCCAGGTGGGCCAGGGCTGTGTGTAGCAGGTGATTTATGGCGTCGTCTCTGAATCTGTTTGGCTGGTATGCCAACTGTAAGGGGTCCAGGGAGGGAGGAGGTGATGAAGGTTTTGACTAGTCTTTCTTGGGGACAGGAACAATCACAGACTGTTTAAAGCACCTGGGGATAATGCACTGGGAGAGCGAGAGGTTGAGTATTTCCGTGAACACTGGTGCAAGCTGGTTGGCACAGGTTTTCAAGACATGGCCAGTTATACCGTCAGGTCCTGCAGCTTTCCTGGTATTCACGCGTTGAAGCATCCGCCTCACATCATGCTCTGTCACGGTGTGCGTCTCCTCCTCTCTGCTGGGCAGCATGCGCACCTCTTGGCCAGGAGTCTTGAAGCGGGCATAAAAGTTGTTGAGTTCGTCGGCCTGAGAGATGTCAGCTCACTATGGGCATCGGTGTGGTTTGTAGTCCATCACTGTTCGTAGTCCCTGCCACAGTCCCCTGATGTCCCTCTGCTGCAGCTGTGACTCCAGCTTCTCCCCATACCTCTGCTTGGCCTCCCTCACGGCTCTGCAGACGCTGTATGTAGCGGCCCGGTACAGCCCCATGTCTCCGGTAGCGAGTCTTGTGTTGTAGACGGCGGTGTGGGACTTTAGAGCATCGCGCATGCCTTTGTTCGTCCACGGCTTCTGATTGGGGAAACTCCCTGATAGTTCTTTTGGGGATAGTGTCCTCCACTAGTTTCCCAATATATACCACAATCGCCTCCATAAACAAACTGATGTCATCACTGGAGCTGCGTTGGAACATGTCCCAGTCTGTTGTCTCCAAGGCATCCTGCAGGGTGGCCTCTGATTGGTCAGATCAACGCAACACTTCTCTCTCCACCGGGGCTGTCCACTTCAGCCGCTGCCGGTGTCCTGTGTTGTTGTTGTTGTTGAGGGCCCCCTGCAGGATCTCGCTGGGCCAGGATGCATCGGCAGTAAAAGTTGTGTAATGTGGTGATAAACCAATATTCACCAGTGTGTCTCTGTTGTATTTGATATGACGAGGACGTGGCATGGTGAATCCCATGCAAAAAGATAAATAAAAGCAAAAAGATTTTTAAAAAAGTAACAATTTTAAAAAAGTTGCAACGGTGCTGGAGCAGGTACGATGGCTGCCACACTCACCGGCGCCATCTTGGAATGCTCAGCTAATGCAGCATACGTGTCCACCTGTGGTTGAATGTAGATGGCACTGAGATCTGACAAATGAACGTTTCACCTGTGGACTATACATTTGTGCTCACAGGATCACACATCAAGGGTGATCCTGTGACCAAACGGGGTCATATGTAGGTACCACATGGTGCTCCACAAATGACTTTCTTCATTTTTGTGAATTAAATGGAATTTTTACTCCGAAAGGCAAATGGTCACATTGATACTCCTTCGGTAACCTGACACCTGGACCACCCACCTGCAGAATGGAAACAAAACTGCAGTGCACCCGTTGTTGCCTCATTGGCTCTTTCCTCACCAGGGGCCTCATGTACAAAGCGTGCATACGCACAAATACTTGGCGTACGCACTTATGCACGCTCATGTTCAGATGTATCAAGCGTGAAATGAACGTGGAAATGTACGGTCCTCCACGACAACTTCTTGACTGGCGTACGCACGTTTCTATTGCTTTTGAGCCGTGGTTGACACTTAGAGGCGATGCTGGGAATATAAAAATGTAAAAAACAATGTAAAAAAAGTGATATACACATCAGAGACACTTAGACGAACAATTAACACACCCAGGTGTTTGCAATCAGATGAGCGGATATAAAAGTTTACATAAAATTGTGCAGAAGATACCGTTACCAACGATGGCAGCTTTGGTACTGTTGGAGGATATTGGCAATGGAGCAGTGCCAAGAGAACGGGTTTCCAGAGACCTCAGGACGACGACTGGATCATCAGCCGCTTTACGTTCCCGAGGGCAATTCGCTTAGAACTGTGCACGGAGCTGCGGCCACTATTGGAGCGCAACATGCCCAGGAGCAATGTCCTACCTGTGCCCATACAGGTGCTGACAACACTGGGCTTCCTAGCCACAGGGTAATTTCAGAGGGAGCTGGCCGACCGACCGGGACTGTGCCAGTCGACAGTGAGCAGAGCCATGTCAGCCGTGTGGGATGGAACTATCCGAATGTCAGCCAGATATATCAAATTCCCATACACTGCAGTTGAACAGGATGACATGACAGTGCAATTTGTAGCGACGGCCGGTTTTCCTGATGTAATCGACTGCACACACATTGCTATAGAGGCACCATCACAAGATGCATTTGTTTATGTAAACAGGAGGCCTTTTTAAATAAATCAATGTACAGATCATCTGTGATGCGCAAATACAATTAAGTAACATTGTTGCGAGGCGTCCTTGATCAAAACACATTCTGACCAACAGTATGGTTGAGAACAGGCTACAAGCTGGCACGGTGCGAGATGGGTGGCTTCTTGGTGAGTAAGTCATTTAATTGTCCTCATATTAATCCCCCCGACATGCGTTAATGTGCGTCCCAGACGGGCATCAGCACCTGGCTGTTGCGGCGGATCAGCTGACGCCGGGGAGGCTGGAGGAATCCCGCGGGTCTGTGATACGAGGCTGGGACTGTGTCTCAGTCTTCTCCTGCCTCATTGTCTGTTGGAAAATAATAAATTGAGTAATTTGACATGAGACAAAGCTTTGATTTCCTCTTTGATATCCTGACATGGGCTGCAGGGTGGCGCAGTTGGTAGCACTGTTGCCTCGCAGCAAGAAGGTTGCTGGTTCGCGTCCCGGTGGGGGCACCGGAATCTTTCTGCGTGGAGTTTGCATGTTCTCCCCGTGCAGCGTGGGTTCTCTCCGGGTTCTCCAGCTTCCTCCCACACAGTCCAAAAACATGTTGAGGTTAATTGGTGATTCTAAATTGTCCGTAGGTGTGAATGTGAGTGTGCTTGGTTGTCTGTCTCTACGTGTGGCCCTGCGATAGACTGGTGACCTGTCCAGGGTGTCTCCTGCCTTCGCCCTAAGTCGGCTGGGATAGACTCCAGCCCCCCGCCGACCCTAGTCAGGATTAAGCGGTGTATAGATAATGGATGGATGGATATCCTGACATGATTACGCAAGAACCTGTATCTTGTTTGGCTGCGAACAGATTATTGTATGACCCATATAGTGAATAAATCTGTGAGTTACACAATAAATATTTACCTTGGGGGTGATCTGAGTGACCTACCTGTGCTCCCACCACTCCTGTGACAGCAACGTCACCCACAATAGCGGCGACTCTCTGCTCAAACAGGGTGAGTTCATCCTTGTTACTGTTATCTGATCTTGCAGAGAGGGGAATCCCACCTGTCAGCCCTATTTATGCTAATTTGCATATTTAAATTGGGGGTGTGGAGAGGGAGGAGTCTGGTACTCCAACATGTGCGGTCAATTCCACGCTGAGTGGGATGTACAAAGGAAATGTGCTTGGATTCCGGCGTACGCTCACTTTCGTTCATCTGGATTTTTTTGTGCGTACGCAGTTTTCAGGATTAAAGTGTACGACAGGTTTCAGTATAAAATCCACGCAAGTCTTTGTGCATGAGGCCCCACGTCCTCTGTCACTCACCTGCTCTCGCCAGCAGGGCAGTGAAACCGTGCCTGGAAGTCCCTCATAAGCAGGTACGCGTCGCTTACTGAGTGAAACTGAGTTTAGCAAGCCCAGCAGCCATGACACAAAGTCTGCCCGTTTCCTGCATGAGCAAAAGGACCAACAGAGCTCATTAGAAAACAAAGGAGCGTCTGGTTGCCTCCCCCTGCAGCATTAGAAACCTCCACAGCAAAGACTGCTAATTATCTTCAGCACTTTAACTCTTCCAGACCTGCACACCAATGGTCGAACCACAGGAACCACCGGCTAACAAGGACACACACAGTGAAACTCATATCCTTTTATGCACTGTGACAATTGGGTGTCCACACACACTGCTGTGGGATTAAGTCCCTGGGTGTTTTGCTCCACCACATGGTGAAGTTGATGTTACTTAGGCTGCACACAGACACAGGGCCTTGCATAAAAACTAATATCCTCTTTTTTTTTCAAAACAAAGAGACATGCACATACACACATATGCACACTCGTTATTCCTCCTGTGAGTACATGTAGTTTAGGTATTTTGTAGATATTGTGTGTTTTCCTTCATTTTCTTTAATAAATGTTTTGTGTATATCTGCTGATCTAATTAATGTTGAATCAGAGGGAATGCAGCCAACCTCTGCTATGTAAACTCCAAGTACTTCAACCAAGCTATTTATGTGGTGATTTGGTTATGGTTAATAATTTAATTAAAAATTAGTATATTGGGCCACTGCTTTAGCTCACCTGGTTGAGCTGGCATCCCATGTACAGGGGTTATAGTCTCTGATGCAGCGGCCATGGGTTCAAATCCAGCTCATGGTCCTTTACTGCAAGTCCTACCCCATTCTCCTCCCCAGCTTTCCTGTCTTTCTTTTGAATGTCCTATCTAATAAAGGCCAAAAAAAAGTATATCAAACTGATGGTTCAGTGTGTTTTATAAAACTGATTTATAAGAGTAATCTTTTAACTTCAGTCTAATTTCCTTCTTTTCAAGGCGATTTTTGACAATTGATTTGTGCAGATTACTCTAATAGCCTGATATAAACATTGTGTTGACCAGTAGTCATTTAAGACCATATTAGCTACAGATAGTATGACATGCTGTCTATGTGTGGTTAATTAATTTAAAAACTGTCTACATAATGCGGTGATGTCATGTATTTGTTTTTAGGCTGTGAGGTGGAGATTCTAGGTGTCCGTCCATCATTCTGTGAGGAATATGTGTACAACCCATCAGAGAAGAACCTGACAGACTCAATAAGTAATGCTCTCAACATCTTGAGGTAACAAGAGAATGACCTGCACCTTGCTATGTTCTGGGATGTCCTTTGATTTGTGGCTTATATTCAGCTATTATGTAAAAAAAAAAAAAAAAAACACAAACAAAAAAACATGACTTCAAGTTTTAATTCAGTTCAATTTTATTTATTTTTTCACTGATTCACAACAGGGGCTGCAAGTTGGCTCGGTGGTTAGCACCGTTGCCTTGCAGCTAGAAGGTCACCGGTTTGCGTCCCGGTGAGGACACCCAGGATCTTTCTGCGTGGAGTCTCCATGTTCTCCCCGTGCAGCGTAGATTCTCTCTGGGTTCTCTGGCTTCTTTCCACAGTCCAGAAACATGTTGAGGTTAACTGGTGATAGTAAATTGTCCGTAGGTGTGAATGTGAGTGTGCTTGGTTGTCTGTCTCTAAGTGTAGTCCTGTGATAGACTGGTTACCTGTCCAGGTGAAACTGCCTTCACCCTGAGTCAGCTGGGATAAACTCCAGCCCCCCATGACCCTAGTGAGGATGAAGGTGTAGAGATGATGGATGGATGGATGGATGGATGGATGCATGATTCACAACATGTCATTTCAAACTTAGAACAGAGAGCCCAACAATCCAAAGTTCTTCTTTATTTTTTGTTTTACATCATCTGTAGTCTTCTTTCCTACAATCGTGAAGCGATTGTTGTTTAACAGCAAGGAAAGTAAACCTAATTTTTTTCTGAAAAACTGTTAAAAAAAAAGTTCAATTAGAGACTACATTGCCTTACAGAGGCTAGTGTGAGACGAACTAGCCCCACTTTGACATCATGGCTGACACACAGTGTATGACTGCTGAGAAAATTAAAGTGAAAATAATTGCATGTTTTAATGAATGTAAAATTATTTTTAACAATTAAACAGCACATAATGGAAGAACACGTAAATAATAAATGGTTTTAATTTTGTTTTATTTTGTAATTTTGGTTCTACAACTGTAAAAGGAAATATGAGTTCAATAACTATCTTCTATCTTGCTATCTAAGTATCCATCCATCCATCATCTCTACACCTTAATCCTCACTAGGGTCATGGAGGGCTGGAGTCTATCCCAGCTGACTCAGGGTGAAGGCAGGATTGGCGGATTGAGGTGACGAAGTTCCTGTGAGACACATGACGTTGTCGTGACGCAGATCCTGTGAGACGGCAGATTCAAACAAGGCGCGCTAATTCAGTCATTCATACATTCAGTAAACCTATGTTTGCCAATCTAGCTTTAAATTTTGAAAAGAAAGAAACTTAGTGTCTTTTAAGGTTCACTCTGGAGGAAGACGGAGAAGATCTGGCCAGCCTGACGGACTACACAGACGAGTGCTATGACAGGATCGTCATGGAAAAGCCGAAGAGACTCCGCAATGAAGACTCACCAGGAGTCATCTTGCCGCCTAAAAATAGTCCAGTTCTTATCTCTATAGATAAGAAATTAAGCAGTCTTGACGGCCGTTTATGCCTGCTAGAGATTCTCCACAAGGAGTTTCAAGCATTACGGGAATCACTAGAGTTCAGCCAGAAGCAGGTGGAGACGCTGGTGGCAGAGAACGCCAGAGTTGGTAAAATCCCTCACTGATGGGATGACCCGACTCTCCGGAGAAAACAAAAAAGTCAAAGAGCCGATCATCGATCTCCAGGCACAAAGCATGAGCATGATAATCTGATATTTGCAGGAATCCCAGAACAAGCGGAGGAGGACCCCGAGAAGACGGTCACGGATTTCATCAGCACTCACCTGAAGCTTCCAGAAGAAACGGTGAGCAACATTTCTTTTCATCGGGTTCACCGTTTGGGAGCTCGGAGACCGGGAGCGCATAGACCGAGACCGATTGTGGCAAAGTTTGTCAACTTCAAACAGAAGGAGCAGGTGAAGAACCAGGGTCGGGAGCTGAAGGGGACAAACTTCGATGTGAATGACCATTATCCTCGAGAGATCCTGGACCGCCGGAGAGTCTTGTTTCCCATCAGGAAGAGATTCCTCGCCGACGGCGCCCGAGCTGTCATCGCGGTGGATAAGTTATTTATTAACGGACAGCTGTACCGCGACCCGGACATCATGCCTTGGCTTTACTGATCTCAGGTTCTGTGTGCCTTCATGCTCTTATATTAACCTCCTTACAGAATGTCAATATATCACACTGCCATATATTATCATATAGCTAATTAAATGCTAAACTCACTGCCATCTCCACTACAGTGCTTGCAACACGGATGTGTTTTTTTAAGTATTTGTTTTTTCTGACACTGTCACTCTTTCCACCTTTCACTTTTCTTCCATCTCACTTTCTCACGATTAACTGTAATCCCACGTGTTTCTATATTAACCCGAGCCGCGGTGCACACATACACATCAGGCACAGCTGGTGGACGCACAGCAGAGCTTTGCACAGTGCACACAAACGCATACTCAGTTGGCATGCACACGTGCACACAAACATGCAATGGGGTGCACATGGACGCAGCTTTATTAACATGCATGTAACACTCATTTCAGTTACTGGATGAGGTTTGTCACTTGGAATGTGCGTGGAGCTGGTACAAGGGAAAAGAGGTTGAAAAGTTCCAATCGGCTGCAGGAATTAAAGGCAGACATTGTCCTATTACAGGAAATTAATTTAGCAAATTCATCAATAGATCTTCTTCAGACAGTACAGTTTCCACATGTGTACTCAGCATGTTACAATTCTAGGCAGAGAGGAGTAGCTGTTCTAATTAATAGAAGATTAAACTTTGACATTGATAACGCAATCATAGACCCAGAAGGTAGATTTATTGTTGTTACATTATCTATTCATAATGTTAAATTATGCATTGCAAATATATATGGACCAAATGTTGATGACCCCTCCTTTTTTCATTCCTTTTTTACTTCACTCTATGATCACTCAGATCATACATTAATTATAGGGGGGGGACTTCAATATGGTTTGTGATCCAGGAATGGACCGACTCAGTACTGCAGGAAATCATCGAATTTGGCAATTCTCAGAAATTGTTGAGCAATATATGAAAGAGTTTGGTCTCTGTGATGCGTGGCAGTCTCACCATCCCACCAAAAGAGAATATACGTATTTCTCCTCAGTTCACCGTTCTTATTCTAGATTGGATTATTTCTTAACTAGCTGCTCGCTGGTCAGTGACATCTCAGAAATCAAAATTCATTCCATTGCTGTCAGCGATCACGCTCCAGTAACATTTACTCTAAAAAATAAGAACAATAAACCATCAATTAGAAACTGGAAATTTAATACATCATTGCTTAAAGACTCTGAGTTTATCAGCCATCTTAAAAGAGAATGGTCCATCTATTTAGAAAATAACAACTTGCCAGAGACTCCAGCGTATGTTCTTTGGGAAGCAGGAAAAGCAGTATTGCGAGGGAAAATCAATGCCTTCTCTTCTCACAAAAAACGCAAAGAGGCTTCAAGAATGTCAGAGTTAGAAATTAGAATTAAATCACTGGAAGATGCCTTCCATGTCTCCCCAGAAGAACACACACTGAACAATATAAGGAAAGCTAAACTTGAACTTAATGAAATACTAGATTAAAAAAAACACAATTCTTGGTGCAAAGACTTCGCTTGGAAAATTTCGATCATGGTAACAAATCCAGAAGGTTTCTGGCTAATCAATTAAAAACAAACAAGGGGAAAACAACAATCTCCTCTGTCAAAGATCCAGAAGGAAATATCAGCCTCGACCCTGACAAGATAAATAACATTTTTAGAGATTTTTATAAAGCATTATATAAAACATAACGGATGAGAATATTGATCAATTTCTTTGTAATACTAATCTTCCCAAATTGCAACAGGAAAACAGGATGGCTCTGGATTTACCACTTTCAATAAGTGAACTCCAGGAAGCTCTCCAGCATATGCCTAATAATAAAGCTCGAGGTCCTGATGGCTATCCAGCAGAATTCTACAAAGAATTTTGGACAATGCTGGCACCCTCTTTTTACAAAATGATAGTAGAAGTAAAGGACAAAAAAGAGATACCCTCAAATATGAATTTAGCCACCATTACTTTATTATTAAAACCGGGGAAAGACCCCACACTTCCATCCAGCTATCGTCCAGTTTCATTAATAAATGTAGATCTTAAAATAATCAGTAAAGCTCTTGCTAGGAGGATAGAAAAAGTAACCACTCTCATAATACATCCTGACCAAACAGGTTTTATTAAAGGTAGACATTCTTCTACTGATACACGCAGATTAGTTAATCTAATAGATTATTCTAGCCTACATAATCTGGAATCTGCAATAATTTCTTTAGATGCAGAAAAAGCTTTTGACCGAGTCAACTGGAAATATCTATTTAAAACATAAAATAAGTTTGGGTTTGGACCATGCTTCATAGACTGGATCAGAATATTATATAACAACCCAAAGGCATGTGTGAGGACCAATGACCATACGTCTCCAAGCTTCTGTTTGCAGCGTGGCACCAGACAGGGCTGCCCACTCTCTCCCTCACTTTTTGCCATTTTTATTGATCCCTTAGCAGCTGCCATAAGACAGGATAAAGAAATTAAAGGAATCTCTACCAAACGCATAGAACATAAAATAAGTCTTTATGCAGATGATGTATTACTTTTCCTCCAAAATTCACAAATGTCTCTCTCCCAGACAATCAGAGTCATTAACAAATTCTCATCCATTTCTGACTACTCCATTAACTGGTCTAAGACCACAGCTCTACCTATTAACTGTATCTTGCAAAATTTACCCAATATCACAATACAATCTGGAAAACTGTCAGAATTGATAAAACTCACTAGCTCCTCCCGGGCTCTTGGTAGGCCTTCTGCCTGGAATGGGGTGGTGGGGGTGGCTCTTGGGCTCGTGCGGCCCTGGGCCCTGTGCTTGGCCCACCCGGGATGGCTGGTGCCTGGTGAGGTCGACAGCTGCTGGTTTTGGCCCGCTGGGGCCTCTGCCCCGCGGCCGTGGTGGGCTCTGGCTGCGGCCTTTCTCTGCCGCCGTCTGGGGGGATGCACGTTCGCCTCAGTGGTGCGGTGGCTGGGATTCGCACTCCGGGATTGCTGCTGATGGCCTGGGTCTTGGGGCTCTCTTGGTTTGCATCTGTCCTTTGCAGGGGCTCGGTTGCCCACGCATGGTTTCACTCGCATGGCTGCACTCATGTGTGAACACTCCTTACTCCACACATTCTGTAAAATGACGCTGCATTGTCCGTACTGATATCTACCTTGGTCTGCTTTGTTTATTTCATTTCTTTATTTCTTCTGACATATGTGGTTTGCTTTTGCTTTTTTTTTTCTTCTGTGTTTCTTTGCCTACTCTCATCAATGTGTGCATGTATAGATCTTGCTGCTCTGGCAGTCGTTGAGATTTAGGTTTTCTCAGCTTCCGCATCTCTTGCAGGTGCTCTTGATGATTGTCGGCCCTGTTTTCCCACAAAAGTTGTCAGATCGTTTCTGCTGTGTGTTAGTACAGGTGTAGATAGATTGTGTTAATACAGGTGTAGATAGATTGTGGTGTATTTGTTTTTTTTTGTTTTCTTCTATTTTCCTTTAACTCTTTCTTGCACTTCTTTGGACTGTACACTTTTCTTTTTCCTCTTTCAGGTCCAGCAATATGACATGTAATTCAGTAAGAATCCAGCATCCAAAATAAATGAACAAAATAAAATAGAATGAATACATACATAAATAAATAAAAATCAGGCTATCAAGAGGGGCCTTATATTTGTAAAGCTCCCCTTGGCAAAGTAAATCTGTTCAGCACAACACAGCATTCAGGTCATCATTCTGCTTGCTATGATGCTGGACCGGACATGTCAAAAAAAAAAACAAAAAGGGTGAAGGCAGGGGACACCCTGGACAGGTAACCAGTCTATCACAGGGCTAGAGAGAGACAACTAAGCACACTCACATTCACACCTACGGACAATTTAGAATCACCAATTGACCTCAACATGTTTCTGGACTGTGGGAGGAAGCCAGAGAACCCGGAGACAACCCACGCTGCACGGAGAGAACATGCAAACTCCACGCAGAAATATCCCGGGTGTCCTCACCGGGACGCAAACCAGCGACCTTCTAGTTGCGAGGCAACGGTGCTAACCACCAAGTCACCTTGCATAATCAGACATATTCCTCTTTTTATTTCTATTTCTACACATCAGTAATCACTGTGACCAGGTGCAATGATTATGTACTGAGTCCCAGTTACCAGGTGGAACCAGTTCTGACTTCAGGATGTGACTGAAGAGTGGGACGTCCTGCCCATTGACACCATCAACCAGCTGGTGGACAGTATGCCACCATGTCTGATTGATCGTGTCAGGGGTAGCCAGACTCAGTACTAGTGATTGAGGGATTTAAAGAGTAATATTAGACACTCTGATGCATGAAATCCCCTCAGATATGTGTTTCCTGTTAAATGACCAAGATTGAAAACTTCAAAACAAAACCCTTAATCCTATTGTTCAATGCCTCCAGTTTAGCGGGAATACACAGTTAAAGTTACTTGTGGTTTAATGTTTACTGTGATGTGTATTCTATGTACACTTCCGTTCAAAAGTTTGGGGTCACCCAAACAATTTTGTGTTTTCCATGAAAAGTCACACTTATTCACCACCATACGTTGTGAAATGAATAGAAAATAGAGTCAAGACATTGACAAGGTTAGAAATAATGATTTGTATTTGAAATACATTTTTTTTTTACATCAAACTTTGCTTTCGTCAAAGAATCCTCCATTTGCAGCAATTACAGCATTGCAGACCTTTGGCATTCTAGCTGCTAATTTGTTGAGGTAATCTGGAGAAATTGCACCCCACGCTTCTAGAAGCAGCTCCCACAAGTTGGATTGGTTGGATGGGCACTTCTTGCGTACCATACGGTCAAGCTGCTCCCACAACAGCTCAATGGGGTTCAGATCTGGTGACTGCGCTGGCCACTCCATTACCGATAGAATACCAGTTGCCTGCTTCTGCTCTAAATAGTTCTT